TTTCTAAAGTGCATAAACTTTTGGGATTGACTGTATAGCCAATACATCCTTAACAGTGAGTATTAAAACCCAGTTATTATCCAGTTCAGTTGTTTAGCTGTCCGATTGAATTCCATTTAAGAAAGCAGTGGAATCGATAAGAATCATAATTCAATAGGCAATTGCCCGAAAATACTTGTACTCATCGATAACAAAGCATTCGCCTTACTTCCAACCTGTTTTCATCAAAAGTCTAAAAGCACGATGAGAGTTCATTTACATAATACGATAACGGGCAATTATAATATAGAGAATTGCATCGGAATAAGAAACCGAGTGACGATTTAAATTCATTTTAATTTAATTTTGCAAGAATATAATTTTTATTGAAGGATAGGGAGACCACCGAGTTGAATAAAGCTCACGGGGAAATTGTGCTGCTCGTGCAGCGGTCCAAATTTATTTTCCCGTAAATTTCGCGTACTCTTGTAGCGAAATACCTGCGCGGCCGCAAACGATCATCATCGGAAAAGTGATAGTGTCGCGGTTTGCTCTGACACGGTACACGCGCGCATACGTACGCGCACCGCTGCATACTGCATGCGACGATCAATGGTCCACGATGAATATTTTAACCGTTTTTGATGGAACGTTCAAGAAATTGGGAAAAATTTTCCCGTCAGGCATTTCTTCGCACTTTCTAAACTTCTTATCAGAAGACCGTTTCACGGCAGGGTTATGTAACTCGCAGGAGATCGCCAGTATTAAACGTTGTAATAATTGCACGCGGATTTATAAACGAAATTTGAGTAATAAATTGTTTCATTACATCGCATGATCTGATTATTTATTTGAACAGAGCGGAGTGCGTCGAATGACAACAATTAATGAATTAATAATTACCGTCGGCCTTTCGCAGAATTATTAATTTTATTAATACAACAGCATTGTGATCGAGGTATCGATATCGGTTTATAATTAACATAAATTTCCAGTTTATACGCGGCGACGGATAGAAATTCGTGCGTGTTCAATCTAAACGATTTTCGCAAATTAAATATCTCCCGTTTTCCCGTCCCGCGTGAACTATTCAGCCCGGAGTGGTAATTGGAAAATGAACATAAAACAGAAATAAACGAGTGCATTAACGTTCCCCTGCGTTAACTTCTCGTAACGGCATTTCCTCGATCCTACCGATTAATCATCCCCTATGGTAACCGCGCTTTACAAACGTTACGCGATCCTCGAAAAATAATTACGATCTTTCAGGCCATCTCCGAGCGCTGCTTTAATGTGCATCCGATTTAAACATGTAAATCCGATTTACAACACAGTCCGCTATTAGCCGGCTCCGTTGTAAAAAAAAAAACTTCTCCCTATTTGTTCTCGATTACAGGGTGAAAAATATTTTTCTCATTCAGACGAATGCGAGAATTGACGCTCGATCATCTGTTCTACGATTCGTACTTTCTTTCTACCTGATGAGAAGTGAAATCGTTCCGCGGTGGAGCTGGGAGATAACATTTATGCAAACGCGGTGCAGCTTCCCCGGCGAGCAGTAAGATGCGAAATGGAAAAGTTGCTTAAAACACGGGTGATTCTTAAGTGAAAAGCCAGTCAAGAAATTTAAAGAGTAATTTTTTGGGACGCTCCCTCAGGCCGGACTTATGAATTCTCCTTAGTTCCATGAATAATTCACGCTTAATTGAAATTTCAATTCTCTCTGGCTTTGAATTTAGAAACACGTCTCTTGAACTCGGTACACGATTCTACAATTAACTGATATATAAAAATAAAGTTTTCCCCAGAATTAAAAAATATGTAAACCAATAATGTTAACGCGAGTATATTCCCACGTCTGCGAGTACGTCAAAAGGAAATGGAAAAAAGAAACGGGGAAAGGATATACGGTTGAGGTCGCTTTAATACTGGCGCGCAGCAGAGGGTAGACGTTTCCGGGGGAAAGGTTGTCTTTTAAAGTCGTCTCGCTGTTAACTCAAGACATTCTCGCGGCGCAGCTTCCGACGGGGTAGCCGTGTGCACGCGCATACGTGCATTGTAAATAGGCGTGGTACGTACCTACGTACGTAGGTACATAGGTATGTACGTACGGTTGAATGTAAATTAGAGTTAACCCCGTCCGACTCTTTTTGTTCAACTGTCTGCGTGAAAGAGCCGGCAACTCGTTGCTGCCGGTGCCGCGCTTCCGCCGCTACTTCTGCTGTTTGTGGTATAGATCGGCTTTACCTTGTCGGTAACGAACTGCAGCATTTCGTGTTCTGTGTTTCGTGTTTCGCATTTTACGTCGCCTCTCTGCGGAGACGTACGTAGGAATCAGTGTGCTTTCGCAAATATTGCCGTCAACTGCATTTTTACGGAAAAGTCTCGCGCGTGACTCTCCTTTGAGACCCGTCAAATCCGATTTCTCAAAACAAGCGTTAGAGAAATTAATTCCAATATTAAACAAACAAATGTAACTTCGATTCGGATTTTTTTAATAAACGACGGACTGAACGTTCTTCGTATCTAAATCATTTATTCAACTGCGCCGTTGTCTATAAAAAGAAAATTGCACGGCGGTAAATCGCGATCATATTCATACCCGGTTCCAGCTTCAATTTATGTTACTATTATTCTAACGTAAGGGACTCGCGATTTCACGAGCTAGGCGCTATATTCGCCGGCACGCGACACATTTCACGGCGTAATTTATTTGTAGTTAGACCGTGTACGCTACAATTTAAATAATTCCGCACCCCGAGCAACGTCATTCACCCCGAACGCGTCGCGCTTTACAATTTACATTCGACCGTAGTTTTCTCCTTCCGCATGTTTTACGAATACCCGGCGATTACCTCCGTTATTTAAATCAACTTAAGATTCCATCGGGCTTTCATAACTTGATTGATTGTAACTGCAATTATCAAGATAGTATCGGTGTTGTAGAGCAGTCTGAATTGGAACGGTCTTACCTCAGCGTTTACTTCTTGTAGCACTACCAATTAGCCTATCGTGAACAACTTATCAGTATAACGTTCTGTTTATTGGGAGAAATAAAAAAACAATGATTTAAATCCGTTTTAGTCTATGAACAGACGGGAAGACTGATTAAAAAACGGGTCGTTGAACGTTTGCGTGCTCAGACATCATTGATGGCTAATGACGAGACTCGTCGAACCTGCAGCTCGTAAATCGAACCGATAATTTCGACGGTCACTTTGAAAATCGATGTCGCGCGAATCGTTAAAACTGTCCGAGCCCGGCGAACATTATGTTGTTTACGACGCTTTATAGTTCCACGGTAGTCGATGGTAATTAACACTAGATTGCCCAAGGAAGTCATTTTGACTGCTTTTGGGCAAATGTACAAATAATAATGCATAAATTATTTTTTCCCAAGTGAAGTAAATTTTTTTTTTTATTGTTAACATTTACTAATAACTTGTTATATGACTGTAAATAATATAAAAAATATTAAAAATTAATTTTAGACAAATCTCTTTACACATTATTCTTTCACAATGCAGTCATTTTGACTGCTTTTGGGCAATATAGGTATATACTAAGTTTCAGTCTTTCTAGTGTTAATCATTTATCGACCGCACGGAGATCTGTCGATCGATCGATTTTCAAGGGAAATGGACCGGCGAGATGCCATCCGACGTAGACGATCCCACGCCCCTTTGCGTCGACTGTTTAGACCACGGATTAGCATTTCAAATACTTTGCCGGGGACGAGACTCGGCCGTTGCGTATGGACGCTCGGATAGCCTACAAATCTGATCAATGGTGTGCACCGTGCGGAACGTAACGTCCCGTCGTGAAACGTCCCGTGGAATATGGAAAATTAACAATCTCCCGTGTGCCATACGTGCTGCGCTGCGAGAACTGGTTCCATGCAGCAATAATTTCAATAATACCCACCGGTTACAGATTTTCGTTTCTCTCGAATAAACGGGGCTGAACACGCGTACCACCGTGCGTGATCGATGGAAATGTCGAATGAATGTTTGACACGTGTTTTTATTTTTTCACGTCCACTTCCTTTCAATCTTGCTTCTTTTTTATATATTTTGTTTTATAGTAATTGCAATTTATTAATCTTGCGGATTTTATGCATTTATAAAGAGACTGAATGTGCAAGAAATCGTCAGAATAATTAAGTCACATTTTCTAAGCATTTTATTCTGCGTAAAAATCTGATGATAAATCTTGTATAATAGATATTTTTATCGATGTAAACTGGAAACTGTGGAACACATAGAGATGAAATTGGGAACAAGATTTGAAAACTTGACTAATCACGCGTCATTTGACGGGCAAACAAAGACGGTCGCGGGCCATCTTCGCGTCCTCGAAACATCAGCCACCGAAGTTTGCCTTTGACCGGTTCGTTAGCCAAGTTTCTGCGTAGTAGCGGGATCGAACGTCACCGAGGAGAAACGGCAGCTCGGGGGGCCAGATAACGATAGTAGAGTAGCAAGGCGGTTAGGGTAGTCAGTTTCGCGATGCAAGGGTGCGCGAGTTGAAAGTTCGCTCGGTGGAAACGACCGATAAACCGAGCCAATCACCTTCTGTCCGTTCGTTCAAAACAAAACGCATCGAGCGTACCGATGAATGGAGAGTAGCCAAAAACATGTTAAAAAATAATAAAAACCACGTGCACACGTACCTTGCCGTTCAACAGGATGTGGAACCAGTGAAACCAACAAGTTTATCCAGTTTTACATATTTTATTTCATTAAGTGTGTTACTAATGACAATTCAACAAACAATTCCGGTTTTGTACCATGAAAAACCATGCCCAATACCGTTGAGTGCGTGTGTCCCGACTGACTGACTGACGTGGGTAACCGTGATTTTTTTCGTGTTTCAGACATGCTATGCGCCAGGAGAGTGGAAACAGAGATTCCCGCGGAAGATGACAGGGTTAAGTAGATAAAAGAAACGGCTGCTGGGTTTCCATCGACCGACGACGATTCATCGCGTTTTCCATGCAGTGCACAATGCTCTGCCACCGCGCCCTTGTCGTTCTCCTTGCAGTCAGCGTGCCAATTGGTAAGTGAGAGAGTCAACAGTTTACTGTTAGCAGGAAAACTCTGATACATTCTAATTAAAAAATCGTTTAACGTATAAGCCACATATTTCTATAAAAATGAATATTGGTAATCATATTAAAAATTAAGAATCGTATTTACGTCGAGATGGAACAGATACGCGCGACACGCTTTCATTCGTTTTTATCGAACCGAATTTCCTATTGAAAAGCGACCTAATTACGTGTAAACGGCGTGCAAAAAACGAGAGGCGACAGAACAAAAAGGTAACAGGTTCAGAATGTTAGAGGGACAATTATCGTCTTGATGCTGCGTTGCTCGAACGGAAGAATCGAGTTCGGACGCAATCGGCAAGTTTCACAGATTGGCAGAAGTAATACGCGGGATCTCTCTGTATTTGCATTTTATCGATGCCGCGTACGACCATTTAAACTATCGCTTGATAAAAGACAAAGGTCTTTTGTTCGCGTCGGGTACAGCGAAATGGACCACGTATCCTATATACATATACGTGCACGCGCGCCCACGTGTTTCATAAAAATCGATATCCTCGATTTTCAACTTTTAAGCTCTGTACAGCCGCGCGGTGTTTCCGGAACGCGGATCTCTTAAGGACCGTTCCGACTCGATTGCTTCTCATCCGATGTTAAATAAATTCGGTAACCGTGTCCCGGGACGCGATGAAAAATGCAACGACAGAAAATTTGTCGCAGACTTGTTATCGGTATCGTCGACTGCTTTTTATTATTCCTTTACACGGACGGAATTTTCATATTTTATAACAGTAACTTTGGCCCCGACTGAATTCTGCATAAGAAAATGAGCTGAAACGTGTCTCGAACGAATTTCGCTGTATTTTTTATTTATTTTATATTTCCACCTGATACCTCAAATATGACTATTCCATCGGTATCCATACCACGTCTTGTTTTTTTACTCATAACTGATTCTACTACTTAAGGATGT